GGTTACCTCTTGTGAGTAATTGTTTATGATCAGTTACACATCATTTAAACCATTCCGGGCAACATTTACATCGAGGTTGTTGACTATATCTGTACTCGGCCATTGCCTATCTCGTAAAGAGAATTCCCTGAGATATTGAACATCGCTTTTGTAGAGTTTAAACTTTCTATTTCGATCACTTTCATTATCAACAATTTCATCCTTTTCAGAACATTGCATTAACGTCTATTGAAACATAAAGTCTTCCCGCAATATTTTGTGTGGAATATTTCTCACCACCCACTACTCTGATACTTAGAGACTTGTCATGTAGTATTTTAGTCCTTGAAGCTATGAAATATTGATATCTTGGTTATCTTTGCAGCTTTAGGGTTATTTCATTTTATGACACAGAAGCAACTTTTGTTCAGCCTTAAGGAAGCTAATCTGTTAATTTAATTAGCTTTATTCCTGCCAATTGTCAAATTCAAACTTCCATGTTTAATTCAAGTTTTAATTCTTTAATGTCAGCAATGTGTTTTATAACGTTAGGGATCCACTATTTTCTCCACGATAATTTGTCAAAAATGGCCTTCAATTATTAGCTGCTTATCAACACATCTTGTCATCAAGTAGTTTTGTTTATTCTCATTAACCAAACGGTCACTCGATCTGTCTAAGATTTTATTGATAAACAAGCCCGAAAGAGTTTAATGAAAAATGTCGTTCACAATTTGAAATGCTTGAACTATGATACACTCACTTTTTGTAAATATTTTTAATAGGAAAATGACGCATCTGGTGAAGTTATCTGTAAACTAGCCTTCAAAGAATGTCTCCTTTTCAGTCTGTCAGATGTAATAGTGTGTCTGAAGTAATAATTGTGAAATTTGTGTTTTAACCAATCAGCATTCAGCATATATGTTTGTGATAATGTTGCATCGGAGGTAAAATACTACGATTAGATAATTAGTAATATGTTTGTTATATTAGCTGAAATAATATTATTATGTTTGTCAAGTATTCAGTAAATAATTCTCCTTAACCTATACATGTAAAGAAAAAACGAAAGAAGACAGGTTATCATGACAACTATAATTTTTTTCATGTTTCTATTTCTATCATGTCGGAATAGCAATAAGCACAGATGAAAGTATTTTGTCTAATGAAACGTTTTATATATGATGATACAAAAACAGGTTTTGATATTTTTTAGCACACTGCTACACGATGCATGATCTATCTGCGCTCTGTCCATCATTAGGAATCGAACCACGGTTTTTAACGTTGTAAATCTGTAAACTTACCGCTGACCCATTAGGAGACTTCATAAATAGAATGTGCTAATTTAACTAGTTTTAAGTTTAAAATATATTTTCATTCGTGCTTTTGGTATAATAATCATTATAATAACCTAGTTGATGTTGAGAGAATTTTTATCAGAAAATTTTATTTATACATTATAAATGATATACTAATTTTAAACCTAACACAAACTGTAGCTTAAATACCTTAGCTTTCTGGTGATACAAGAGATGTATTAAACTGTGGCTTAAATACCTTAGCTTTCTGGTGATACAAGGGATGTATGAAACTGTGGCTTAAATACCTTAGCTTTCTGGTGATACAAGAGATGTATTAAACTGTGGCTTAAATACCTTAGCTTTCTGGTGATACAAGGGATGTATGAAACTGTGGCTTAGATACCTTAGCTTTCTGGTGATATAATAGATGTATGAAAATGTGGCTTAGATACCTTAGCTTTCTGGTAGTACCAGATATGTATCAAACTGTGGGTTAAATACCTTAGCTTTCTGGTGGTACAAGAGATGTATCAAACTGTGGCTTAGATACCTTAGCTTTCTGGTGATGCAAGAGATGTATCAAACTGTGGCTTAAATACCTTAGCTTTCTGGTGGTACAAGAGATGTATCAAACTGTGGCTTAAATACCTTAGCTTTCTGGTGGTACAAGAGATGTATCAAACTGTGGCTT